AATCAATCATATATCTTGGTATCTTTATTAAAACTCTTTATAAAAAATAAAATCAGTTGGCAAAATAGAGTTCCTTAACAGCTAAAAGCTGAATTGTGGGACACTCTTCACAAACAGCCAATGAGAAACATCAACCAATTATTTAAACCCTAGTCAAATACAATCGTAAATCAATATAAATCATATTAAATATATAACATATATACAATGGCCTCTAGGATGTATTTTTTGGGGGGAGGGGGCCTAAGCTGTCTGACAGGGACCTGAGATCATATGCCTGAGCTGGGAGAAGGGGCTGAGAGATGGTTCCCCTACCAAATGAGATTTAAACAAAAAAAATTGCAACCTCTGCTGGATAGCCTGAAATGGCACTCTCAGACTGTGACAGACGTGTTGGCTTGGTGTGGGTCCATTTATACTTTACAGTCTGACAGCCCGATGAGTTCTGTCCGAAGGGGGTGGGGGGCTTGACCTGTTCGTTGGGGACTTAAGTCCCACTGTGCCCCCCGCTGGCACCGCCACTGCATATATATAAATCAAGATAACAGCATAGCATAGCTCTCAATGAATGTTGTCCTATAAATAAATACATTGCGTAATGTCAAAGCGAGGGTCATAACCATTACGCCACAGAGACTTTATGGTAGAACAGATTCAAATAACCATCAGGTACATTGTATACTCAAAGGGCACCCAAGAGGGTATAAACCAGATAAATCTGGGGGTACGGCTAGAAATAAATAGCATGTGACATGCCTAAATATGGTCAATGATGACATCACATCATGACCATATATAGGAACATCATCAGTAGCAGATTCAAGAGGGGCCCAGTCGGTCCGGGTTCCCCATACATTATTCAAAATAAAAAAAATTGAGAAAAAGAAAAGAAAATTATATTCAAATTTTAAGTTTGGAAGTGCAATTTCCAGCCATCTAGAGGTGCCATAATCACAAATTTGTTTACCTCAGCCCAAACCATAGTGGGGCTGAGGTGGTATAGATTCTCCATCTGTGAAATACCTCCCCGGGCATAAAACAGTGTGTGAACAGGGCAGGGTTTTATACAACTCCATTCCGTGGGAGTATTTCTAGTCGTGCAGACTAAATACATTCAGTGCTACGCTGACGTGCAATGTACTTATACTCCAGAGGTGGTAAATTACTGTCCCAGTTAGTGGGAAATGTTTTTATGGCTTAGTATTGTCCAAAATTGTGCTTTTAGACCACAATATTATGAATTGGCAATCAATTAACTATAGGCAAATTAATATTGTTGGTCTAGGAACCTAATGTTCACATCAGGGGACAACTGGGTCCAATTGTCCCCCCAGTTGTCCCCTCTGACACCTGTCACTGTTTATACGTAGCAATGCCTTTAACAACACAAATGTACAGACAAGCTGCTCTACATAAAATAAGTTTTATTATGAGGCTTGGGAGTGGGGTTATTTTTTTTTTTTTTTGTGAGAAAAAGTCCTGTAACTTTGACATTTTCTAATTAATATCTAAAATTTAAATTTAAAAAATCTTCGAACAACATGCTGTTAATACATAAAACTTTACAATACATTTAAAAAGTTCTAGTGATAAAAGATCACTGTTATTATTAGGTAGTGAACAAATTGCACAAACGAAAATTTAAAAAATCTGTTTTTTTTAAATCCTGCTCTAAGATCTATAGGATCTAAGGCTACTTTATGCAAGAAAAAAGCAGTGAATATAGAAGTACAACATGGTTTGAGGTAAAGTAGTAAATTTTACTTCTTGAGTTTTTTACCGAATAATCCCATGCTGTATTTGTTTTATTATATAAAAGAGCAAACCACCTATCCACATTAGCCATTTCAAGTTTTGATTGCAAAGTTACACAGTTTGCATGGTTAACTATGGCCAGGCATGCGATTTGAAAATACCTTCTTTTATTGAGTACCACATACCAAATGAAACCGACCAACGGATTGTTCTTATCCATTTTAATAATTATGAATTTTACTAAAATTCCTACCTGAAAACTACAGATTTTCTATCGATTCTGAAGCTTTGTACTCTAATAATTCTGGAGCCCCTGTTTTCCTGAAGTTGCACAATATTTCACAAAATTTACTCTACTGTAAAGAAAAATAATTTTTGTTTGGCACCGGCTGGTGGGAAGAGGACTTATTAAAGACCCAATTGACGAAAAAAGAAAAAGAGAAAAAAATGGGGAAAATATTTCGGCCTTCTCATAATAGCTTAAATGCCTAAGTTTCCCCTTTTGCTCTAGGTATATTTGGGATAACTTAGGGGGGGGGGGTGTCGGGAGGAACATGCCCCACCCACATGCCCCCTAATGGATCCGTGCCTGATGCCTACTTCCCCTGTTGTTAGCTATGATATGGATTTTGATCTACTCTCCTGACGTCTCTTAAACCACCACGTTGATTTCAGGTGCAACTGTTGGCAATGGAACTCCAGTGTTATATGCCTTAATATGTTGGCACATGACGCACCTATGCCAATCTGACAGGTAGGACAATACACGTTGCTCCTTATCTGTTATCTTGCCACTTGATAGTCCCATGATTATATGGGATACGCTCACATCATCGCATTCTGTCATAGCATTATCAAGTAGCGCAACAAACGGTGTTTGTTCAGAAAGTAAAGACTCAATGACACGCGGAGTTCTTTCCATAGCCTGACCTATTTTCTGTATACTCGGTGGCGATTTATTCAGGTCAGTGCATAGGCGACTGTAGATTGAATTTGGGCTGAACTCGGTATTCTTCAAATCATCAAGTGTACAATTACAGGGCTGATCTGTGGCAGAAGAAAAAAAAATAATGGAAGTAAGGCAAAAGTAGATATACTGTAAATATAAAAATGTGTGTTAATTTAATACATATTCACCCCACCCCTCTCCCCCACCCCCTGCCATCTGTCCACAAACGATGAACAAACTGCTGTCAGTTAAATGATGATGCCACTGCTGATGTAACTTTGAATCCATCAAAAAGGGGTGCTAGCCTTTATACCAATTTGCAAACATTGAAAATTCATATTTCTCCTTATGGTGCTCTGTTGCCATGTAAGACACGAGTCTAAAGCCAGGAATGCCCCTCATTGGCTGGCACAACTGTCAGTCAGCGGCGTAAAAATCTCTGTAAACAATGTCTACTGATTGTTGTTGGCAAGTTAAGGGGATTGTGATTTAAAACGATCTGTTGCACGCAGCTTGGCAAAAATCGGTGAAGTATGTGCCTAGACTTGGATGTAAATTTGAGATTTTGAGAATTTTTGCCATTAAACACTTACTAGGAACTGTAATTTCCAATTTCTGAATCCAGCTGACATTTGAGATTATTTCCATGTCACTGACTCCAAGTTTTGCATAAAACAAGCCGCTGGACGGTACAGGTAGATCAATTTTCATTTTTTCGTCAATATTTTCCCATTCCGTTTCCTTAACTGTTTCATTGGTCTGAGAATTGGCTACTGTCAACCAGAACCGATGCCTTAGCCAGACATTTTCACGACTTTCCTGCTCTAACCTCAGATGCCAGGAACCAGGGTATACCATAACCGTTCTCAACTTGACCCTGTATTGAACTGAAAAAGAGTTTCCAATATTTTATTAAGAAATAAAATACATAATGATTTCAAGTGTATAGTAATAATAGAAGAAACATCACATTTATTTTTCCTGCTGAATTGTTAAATAAAAATATTTATACAAAAAAAAAAAAAAAAATTCAATCAATGCATCCTTGTACAGGATCAAGTGGCATATCTATGATCCGAGGTAATAATGTTCAAGCACCTCGAGGTTGTGTCAACGTGAGGCGCTATATAAATCCAGAATTATTATTATTATTATTATTATTATCTAGGGGGATGTGCACTCCCCTCCAAAAATTAATCATGCCCCACCCCCAGTCACATCCCCATACATTATGGTCTAGTAGTTAAAAATTACCTAAAATCTCCTTTTTTATTTTGTGTGCCCCTCAACCACACTTCACCTTTTGCGAACCCCCATCAGCACCCAGCCCCCCCCCCCCCCCCCCTTCAAGACTTGTAGATACAACACAGACAGGATCATTAAACTACTTTCACCAAAGCACACTTAACCCAGACTAGGCATGCCTAATAATATACAGATTTCCATCTAATTACAGACCCCTCCAATTAAAGACTGCCTCTCTGTGGCATGAATTAACACCTATTTTATCATCTTTACATTTATAAATAAGGACCAGCTGCTAGAGACCATCACAACCTTGGTCCCTAAAGTAGTCTTTTAATTGGAAGGATATACCTGTATGTGTTATTTGGATAACATTGACAAGTTAAACCAAAATCTCTGTGAGGCTACCACAAGCTCAGAGGAACAAAATGATGAAAGATATTCACAAGTCTAATTTAGCACTTACCTCTTAGTCTACAAAATCTTCTTCTCAACAAAACGAAGAGTGAGCAACTATTGGAATGACCTATGGAAAGGAAATGAATATAAACAATACAAAAATGTACGTTAATAAAACACATGTTCACATATTGATTCACAACCATCTTATATTTTGTTTCAACATCATTAATCATGAGTGACGGCTCATGTATTTGGTGTTATTTCAGGGGTATAGTTTTCATTTTAAAAATTCTAGCTAGTACTTACTTCTTTGTCTATGACTTCTTTTTCTTAAACAAAAACCAAGGCATACAAACAGGACCGCAACCCCAAGTAGGACAACAACAGAAATGACTTTAATAAAAGTATAAAATATATCAAAAGAAATCCAGATACAGTATATTTAAAATTTCAAATACATTACTAATATTGTTTAATGTTTAATGATTTAAAAGCATTGATAAGAAAGCTGGGTTTCCAAAAAAAGAATCGCTACACGCTATCTCTGAATCCTCTAATGACACTGATTGGTCAGTTGTGTCAGGAGGCATTCCCGATTGCGATTGCAGTGAAAACCCTGTAGCAACTGTGTAGCAATTCTATGGAAATGGCTGAATTCATCTGTTGGTAGTATAATGTATAATTTTTGTTCCCATTTACACTTAACGCTGTTTTGCAGCGACATGTACCAATTGTCACAGACCGTGAAACAACAGCAACCTGCTGAAGAAGGCAAAAGTGTCTGGCAAAAATTTGTACAATGACTGAAAACTTTCATATTGGAACAAAAAAGTTTACAATTTTATACATCAATTTAAAAGCATGTTTAAGTTCTTTTATTTTTAAATATTTGGCAAGTCCAAATATGAAATTACATTTTAACTGCATGAAGATAGAAAAGCAATTTTATACTTTCACAATTTAAATAGCATAATTTGGTTTTCAGTAATGGTTATTGTTTGGAGTGTCAATACATTTGCTGTATGTTTCAGACAAGACGGCTACAATTAACCTATATCGGTACTAGCATCACAGTGTTCTCAAGAAAATGTTGCTCACGTTTCTTGAAAACCATCACCTATGGTCACTGTGTATTATCTTTCGCTGCACCATCACTCTGGAATTCTCTTCCAGACCGCATTAAAAATGCAGAGATAAAAGACCATTTTTAAGACCCATCCCCAAATCTTGACTGGTGTCACGTCTGTACTCAACTGCCACATGGTCTCGGACAAATTTAAAATATTGACTTACCAGCCACATTCGTTTGATTGTAAGATGGTGGTGGATTGGTAACTGTTGCATTTGTAGCAATGAAGTCTGTTGTAGAACCTACAGTAATTAAAATAAAGGCTTATAACAGTTCTTTATTACCACTCTGTCACATTAAACTTGATTTCTAACCTTAAACCCTTCATTGCTAGAGCTAAATTTGCCATTCTTCTGTGTGTCCATGAAAAATTTGGGGTTTCACTAGATTATAACAATTTTTTTCATGATTCAATTATTTTTTCAGTGTGATCATGCCTTGACAATAACTAAACTCACTGTAAATTGTTAACTGGCATTATATTCTAATTCCAATATTTTATTACTGATCTGATAGATTAATCTTTTAAATTAGTTTTTTTCTTTATGTAAAGATGTTTAGTATAAGAGAGCCACTTGCAATGGAAGTGGTAATCATCAGGTAATGTACATTCTGTTTCCATGTTTTCTCTTGTATTGCTTTCACCTGGATTGTTGAATAAATTTAAAAAATTAGGAGGGAGCCCTAAATTAGAAAATATAAAATAAATAGGGATAACATCGAACGTTACATTCAAATTTTGAGTCCGACAGTGTCATCAGCCACCTAGAAATGCCATATACATACAAATTTCGTACCTCAGCCCTAACTATGTTTGGGCTGAGGTAGCATAAATCCCCATCTGTCAAAAATCTTTCATCTGCACCCCCTCCCCTCCTGTATATCGAATGCCGAGATCCAAGATGTCGTAATTTGGCGAACCATCTTCCATCCAAAATCTTATTGGTGGAATATCAACCATGAGTCACCCTAATTTTACAAATTAAAAATTAAATCAGGGGTAAAAGAAAATCACCTTACAATTTTGAGTCTGACCTTGCATTTCTGGCCATCTAGAAGTGCCTTAGACATACAATATTTTTTTACCTCAGCCCAACGAGTAATACCGCGAACTCAAAAAGGTTGGGAACTACTGGTCTAGAACACATGGAGAGGTCAAGGGGAAAAGCCAGCTGGATCGTAGCTTTGGCATTGCAGAGCGTTGTGGGTGTCCAACTATAGTTAAATTATAAAGATTTACCGTAAGACTCCCTTTTAAGTTTTATTATATAAAAAATAACAAATTGTATGTTCATTACATTGGACTTTTTTGGATTTGAGTGGATTATGATGTGTAAAGGGCCCTTAGTAAATAGAGCAGATTTTAACCCAACTAGTTGGGTGTTTGCCAATTAGTGTATCAAGGTTTATCCATTAAACCATGGAGCATGATTAAACTGTCAATTATATCCTTGAGTGAGGCATAGCTAGTCCAGTTGCACTACTGTACTACTTTCAGTAACCTTGCTTGCAAAAAAACCTGCTGTGATAAATGTATGTAGGATAACTGAAATTACTGCAAAGAAATCTATGGGCCATGTACACCTAATGATGTGTATGGTACACCCATAGCACTCCCCTGGATATGGACCTGTCATACCACTTTCTGCCAGCTTATAATTCAGTGTGCATCTTACAGTATTGGTTAATTCTAAATATGCATGGTGAAGGGTACTACCTCCCTGAAGTCCGACTTACCTTCCCGACCAGTAGTGTATCTATAAGTTGTATGCTGCGTTGTGGGTTGGGGCGTTGTGGGTACTTGGGCACAGTCAACTGGTTTTTCTCCTGGAACGGGCCGAAAACTATAAACACCACACCATTGCGGGCACGATTCAGATGAACGACACTCATCTTCAAATTGGTCGCCAGCATAATATGCTCTATGGCCACAAATTTGACACTTTTTACACTTATTAGTTGCCCCTTCACGATATTTGCTGAAAAAAAAAAACGATAACCAAATAGCAATGATGATGGTGATTTTGGTGCAACAGTTTTCACTCTGGTCGGGGATTTCAACCAGAATGCTGACCAATCTTTTCCAGCCATGCTTAGATACCCCAGCTGGATGCAAGGTTTTCAGTCTACAGGTGCAAGCATTTAATGGCATATATTTTGTTTAAACAGCCCCTAGAAGTGGCTACTGGGCCTTGTTTAAGGTGAATCAGTGGCTGATGGGGGAGGCTGATGGGGAAAGGCTGATTGGGGGCGAAGGTTGGCCGTGAAGGTAAAGTGGGGGACTCAATGATTAGGTGAGAGGGGCCCTGCCACGCAAAAAAAGGCGATTTTTAACTATTGAGTACTAGAGCGTAATTGTTTTGCTTTGAACATTTTTTTTAATGGAGGGACAACTTGAGGGGGAAAGGTATTTCTTTGGGATGGGTGGAAACTCCCACCCCAATGTGCACCCCTAGACGCCACCTAGGCGAGTTCAATAAAATAAGTAAATATAGTATAATAATAACTTACAATTAAAACCATATGATAATGTTTTTATAATTTCACATGACAACTTTTTGGGACTGGGGCTTCCATGGTCTTCATCAGCTTTAGTTTCTAATTAGAGTAATAGACTACAGATAAAAGACTTGCTAATTTGGAATCACAGAAAAAATGGTTTTTAATTACAGGTCGTCTTTAACTGGAGGGAGACCTGTAATAACAATAATAAACAAATATTGTGCTTGTATTTGACATGACAATGGTGCTCATAGCATTTGCATCCTCCACTTCCGGCGCGCAAAGACTGGCAGCAAAGTACCGTTGCCCACGCGCAGACACACGTGCTATAGACACAAATCGTCTTGTCTTATTCTAAGTCAACTAAATTAAAATTATAAAAGAGAACATGAGAAAATAGCTTACCCTGCATCACACTGAACTTCCTATAAAAATATAAATACAGTGTCATAAATTTTGTGAAAAGAAGGGAAAAACAATAGAAAAAAAATTAATTAAAAAGGAAGAGGAAGGGAAAGAAATGAAAAGATAGGAATAAAAAGAAAGAAATAAGAAAATGAAAAGGGAAAAGACTTAAAGGTAAATAAAAGAAAAAGAAAGGTAAAACATGATATAATAAATCATGGAGGTATTATACCTCCAGTAATAAATGTATAGAAAAGGAAAAAGGAGAATAAAATGAACACAAAAGGAAAATAAAATGAAATGAAAAGAAGAAAAAAGGAGAGAAAAGCTGATTCGCAATGTTTGTCATCACTTCATGGTGTCTACCGATTCATGAAAAAGGCCTGTAAGCGGCATTTATTTATCGCCATGGCTAAGATACGGTACCGTATTTCTACTTCAATTTGCTAAAGGTATTGTAAATGGCATTACATCACCATCACCCAATGAAGTGCCAGAATGTGTGTGACGTCATTTTTCAAGACTGGCATTGCATTGCAATCCCACCAAAATATTCATACAATTTGAATGCACAAACTTTTCGTAGGGCTAGACTTCGTCACTGTTATGGTACAGAATCTAGGCCTAGAACGAGAGAATAGGTTTCCCCTTTGTGATTATTACAATTGAGTCAAATTTTTCCAATAATGTTGATGCAGACCTTAATACTGTCATAAAAAAATAGGCGTACCACTCAATAATAAAGTCATGTCATTATATAGCCTTATCAAGCAAGGCATCATCCTCAGGACTTAGGCCAAGGCACATGTATACACACACTACTGCTAGTCTTTGGTAATCTATTTATATGACAACACTTGCAATAAAAAAATGAATATACTGTAAACAAGAGAATTCATACAGGCTTACTTTTACTATAAAGTGGAACCATACGCCTATTTAAGGATGACAGTAAAGTCAAACAATATTGTACTTTTGATGTTCTAATTTCCCAGTCTGTACGATCGTTCTCCTTCCACCGCTCATTGGGGGCAGCGTGACCACTCACAATTTTGGATATACCCAATGACTGGGTCGAAATTACCCAAGATTCAGCAAAAATTGCCCAAAAATTACCCAAGCTTCCTGAAAATGCATTAAAATTTAAAAAATACATGTTTTTTCGAATGTATAGTTACCCTTTTAGTTCAATTTATAAACCATTTTTTATTGTAATTGTTTGTGTTAATTATTAAAATTAATATTCATGAGGTAATAATACGAATAGAAAAATACGCCCTCAGTCGGTCAGTGTTATCAGTGTAGATCAGTGATCAAGTTTTATTATGTAATGCATTAATTAGGTAAGATCAATGGCAACGCAATCACAAATTAACAATTCTGCATGTTTATGAGCAATTAACAGTCAATTAACAATGTTATGTGCACTTCGTTGAGTTTTGCTTACTTGAATGGACTGACATATACTTTGTTACTTCTTAATTCTTCCTCTATGACAAAAATATTTAATTTTCTTAGTAAAAATAAAA